AAATCTTACAACATATCATAAATTGCACATCAAGTGCTCAAATTTTATAACATATCACAAATTGCACATCAAGTGCCCAAATATTATAACTTGCCACATAAATCAACAATACATTATTTTTCACAATAAGGAGCCCATGGCTCGACCATAATGTGCACAATATCTTAACAAAAATATCCGGTAGTGAACACTCAATAAAATAATATTTCACATAAAATCAAGGTGGCAATCACACCAAATCATCGTATAAAATAATTCAACAAACAAGGATCTAGGCATGACAAATAGAGGATTTAATAAGTGTTAATAATTTTCAATTTAATACCTAAGGGCGTTTAAGGATTTTAATCAACGAAATTTGCACATATAAACTAAGTGCGCACTCGTCACCTCACGTACATGGTTTTCAATTACACAATTTGCGCATAATACTCAATGCCTAAGGGGTATTTCTCCCACTCAAGGTTAGGCAAGACACTTACCTTTTTGAAGTTATGCCGATACTCCAAAATCACCTTCTTGCTTGAATTTACTTTCGGACCGCTCAAATCTATCCAAATTAATTGTATAACTTCATTAAAATTCATCGGAAATAATTCTGGATAATAATACGCCGACTTAAAAATTTATTTCAAAAAGTCAACAAAAGTCAATGTGGGCCCTCCCCTCGGAACCCGACATAATTTTCATGAAATCCAAACACCCATTCTGATACGAATTCAATCATACCAATTTTATCGAATTCCAATAACAACTCGACCTCCAAATCTTAAATTTTCGTTTTTGGAAGATTTTACAAAAATCTTGATTTCTTCCATTAAAATCCGAATTAAACGATGAATATAATCATAGATTCATGAAATATAAACACTTTAGGATATAGAACACTTACTCCAATCCATATGGTGAAAATCGCCTCAAAAATCGCTTCAATCCGAGCTCCATAGCTCCAAATATGTTAAAAATGGCTCAAACCTCGAAATATAGCTACTGCCCAAGTATTTACTCTTCGCAATCGCGGAAAATGATTCGCGATCGCGAAGCACAAAAATTTTCAGCCCCAAAATTTCTCTTCGCGATTGCAGAAAACCAATGACGATCGCGAAGAACAAACTTCCCAACTCTTCCAGACAGCCTCTAGTATAACGGTCATAACCTTTTGTCAAAAACTCCAAATAATACATGGTTTAACTTTCTGAAAACTAGATTCCAAGGGTTATAACTTTCATTTTTTTCTCATCTCCAATTCCTTATAGAATTTAAGATATAAGCTTCCAAACTCAGCCCTATGCAGCAAAAATTTCCCAACTCTTCTCGGACAGCCTGTGGTGTATCCACTATACCTTTTTGTATACACCTCCAAATTACCAATAGTTTACCTTTCTTAAAATTAGACACAAAGCGCTACAACTTTTATTTTTGGATCATCTCCAAATTCTTTATCGATTGCGAGATATAAGATTTCAAAGTCGGGTTAGTTCAGCAGAAAATGTCCTTTACGCGATCGCGAAAGGCCTTCCGCGATCGCGATTCACTGGCCATTTTCCCCCATTTTGTGCTTCGCGATCACGGCCAATTCCACACGATCTCATAGCACACTGCTGTAGCCAAAAACCAGCAGCTATAAATGGCCTAGAAATGGTCCGAAAGCACCCTGAAACTCACCCGAGCCCCTCGGGACCCCGTCCAATCACACCATCCAATCCCATAACATACCACAGACCTGCTTGAGGCCTCAAATCACATCGAACAACATCAAAACGATGAATCACACCTCAAATCAAAATCTATGAACTTTGAACTTTCAAATTCTATATCTTGTGCCGAAACACATCAAATCAATCCGGAATGACTTCAAATTTTGCACACAAGTCATAATTGACATAACGAAGCTATTCAAATTTCCAGAACCGGATTCCGACCCCGATATCAAAAATTCAACCCCCCGGTCAAACTTTTCAAAAATTTGACTTTTCCCATTTCAAGTTTAATTCCACTACGGTCCTCCAAATAATTTTTCAGACACGTTCCTAAATCCAAAATCACCCAACGGAGCTAACGGAACCGACAGAACTCTATTCCGGAGTCGTCTTCACACATTTTCGACTATGGTTAAAATCCTAAGACTTAAGCTTCCGTTTTAGGGACCGAACATCCTAAATCACCCTGAATCATCCGGTAACTGAATTCAACCATGCACGCAAGTCAATACACATAATACGAAGATGCTAAAGACCT